CCAGAACGAGGTAGAACAAAATCTCGTCCTGGCATCAATCAAGTCGAAGATGATGACTTGATTGATCTGATTAGGCAGTCACAAGAGGAAGATCGTAGAGCCTCGGTGTCTAGTCTAAATAGAAGCGCTGCATCTACAAGGTCATTGAGCAGAGCAGCTATTAGTATGGACGCTACAAGCAGCCTTGACGACACTGCGCATCAAAAACTTGAAGTAGCTCCCAAACGTAGTGGGGCAGCCAAAGCAGCTGCTATCACGAATAATGGTGTATTAGGAGAGCTGAACAATAAAGCCAGCCGTAAATCCAATATAGCCAATAGTGTTAAGGGTGCTGAGAAGCAACAACAACCCGTAACAAGCTCACCTAGAGATATAGCAGGGAGACCACCTGCTATTCCTGGTGTAGCCCCTACTTGTATGGAATCCGTAGGTGGATCCACGGTAGTTAGCGACACCGTTGCTACTAAAGACGTTGAAGAGTCTCAACGACGTCCCTTAGTATCCCAAAAAGAGGAAGCAGCCCAGACTAAAACTGCTAAACCTTCTGACGGGGCTGTAGCTGTAACTGAACCCAGAGTGGGCGGTGAACTAGCTACAGGTAATGGTCTAGCTCGTAATGCCAATGTTGGCGTTGTCCAACAAGAAAGGTCTAATGTCGCAGACACTGAGAAAGACAAGTCGTCTAGTATTAGTGCTGCAAACATGTTAGCTGGCATCATCAAAGACTTTGATGAAACACCCACTAAAGATCCCTTCTCATTACGTCTCCTCAAAGTTGTTGCGTGCACCTTCGAAATTATGGACCGACAATCTGTAATGTTTGAACGACAGGCCCGACAGTTTGAGGACTTGAAGTCCATGTTTCAGAATCTGCTCGAGCAGAAAAACAGTGGCAAACCGGCTCCTTCAGGAAGAATGTCTACCCCCTAGTTCAGGCTCCTAGGAGGAAGAAAGTCGAAGTTGATATCGCATTACAAACCAAGGCATATATGGAACCTGAAGCTTTTAAGTAATACCGAAGTGTTAGAGCAGTACGTCAAGCTGGCTGAAAGTAAGAGCTCTGGATGCCTTACACAGATCAAACGAAAATGTAGTATACACGACAACAG